TGTTGCCCTGGGTAGAGGGCGTGGCATCACAGCTCACAGCAAACTCAAACTCTTGGGCTTAAGTGATTCTCTTGCCTCAGCCTCCAGAGTAGGTGGGACTACAGGCACCTGCCACAATACTCGGCTATTTTTGTTGCAGTTGTCATTGTTGTTTAGCTGGCCCGGGCTGGGATCGAACCTGCCACCCTCGGTGTATGTGGCTGGTGCCATAGCCACTGTGCTACAGGCGCCAAGCCTATTTGCTTGCCCTTATTCTTCCTAATAAGTACAACCAGAAGATCTAATTAAATGGACACTTCATGTTTAAGGATTGAAAGATAACACAGTGAAGATGTCAATTGTCCTGAGACTGGTACACAGGTTTAACATTCCTATCAAAGTATCAGTAAGATTTTTTGTGGATATAGACAGTATTATTCTGAAATGCATATGAAAAGCAGAGTAATTAGACTAGCTAAATCAATTTTGAAGGGAAAACAGAACACAGTGGGAGGAATCAGTCTACCAGATTTTAAGACTTAGCTACAGCAGTCAAGTCTGTGTGGTATTACACTGGGATAGACACATAGATCAATGGAAAGAATAGAGAACCCAGAAATAGACCCACACAGATAGGCTCCACTGATGTTTAACAAAAGTGCAAAAGTAGTTCAATGGAGGAAAGACAGGCTTTTCAACAAATGATGCTGGAGCAAGTAGATATTCATAGGCAAAAAGAAAAAAAGTCTTGACCTAAGTCCCACACTTTATACAAAAATTAATTCAGAATGGGTCATGGCCTTGTAAAATATAAAACTATGAAAACTTTAAGGAAAAAAAAGAAGGAAATCTTCATGATCTTATAAGAACTCTTTACAAAGAGCTCTTAGACTTGACACTAAAAGCATGATTCATGAAAGGAAATATTAATAAATTGGATTTCATCAAAATTCAAAACTTTTAACTGGGCTCAATGACTCAGACCTGTAATCCTAGCACTTTGGGAGGCTGAGGCAAGAGGATTTCTTGAGATTAGCAGTTCTAGATTAGCCTAGCAAAGATGGAATTTTGGTCTCTACCAAAATTAGAAAAATTAGCCAGGCATGGTGGCAGGTGTCTATAGTCCCAGCTACTCGGAGGCTGAGGCAGGAGGATTGCATGAGCCCAGAGGTTGGAGGTTGTAGTGAGCTGTGATGATACCACTGCATTCTACCCAGGACAAGGGAATGAGTCTCCGTCAAAAAAAAAAAA